TTGTGAAAGTTACTTCATAAAAAAAAAAAAAAACCGTATTTGTATTGTGAAAGTTCCTATTTTTCTCTGACTCTAAAATTAGAGTGCTTTGTTTCATGTCCGCTGTGAATTACATAGTAGTCCTAAAAGATAAAAAGGTTCTTTGTTTTGGATAAGTATGACACACTAAGACTGTGCGTTAAAATTACAAAGAGTATCATACTTGATCATATCCAACATGGAATCTACATCATCTACAAAGGCCGTGTTGCTCCAAAAAGCTTGCAAAGAAATAGATTTGTGTTTTAAGGCTATGTAAGTTGCTAAGTTTGCCTTCAAAAATTCTATTTTTTATTTCAGTCTGAATTGTCCACCAAATGACCATGGGGATAGTGTTCCAAAGCTTGTGTGTCTTCCTATTGAAACCATCTCATCTCCAGCTATGTAAGAAATCCAGAATGCAGCGAGGCATTGTCCAGGATATGCCCAAAATAGCAAAAAACAAGCTCCAAATCTAATAAGTTATTTTCCAGTGTAGTAAAGATGACGAGTATCTTCAGGGATCTCTTCACGGAGGGACCTGCTGCATAATGGCATTCCTCTTCTCTGAAGATTTGATTGAGTGAGGCATGTTTCCTTTGCCACAAGCCAAGAAAACAAGAAACCTTTTATGGTGCTTTGTTGTGCCAAATTTTCCTCCAAGGCCAAATATTAGTGTTGGAAGAGGTCAATGACAGCAAGATTTAACAGCGATGATTAGGGACTGTAATAGAGAAAAAAATCTTGCAATTTCCCAATCATTTAAATTCCTTCTTAGAAACAAATTCCATCCTTGAGCATCAGAAAAATCAGCTATAGGGGCATTATGAAGTGAGAAAATGCTGTGAATGTCTTGAAAAATATCTTTCAGAGGTGAATGTCCAATCCATGCATCTTCCCAGAATCTAATCTTTCTACCACCACCAACTGAGAAACCAACATTTGATTCAAACATGCTCCAGAACGATAGTTTGTGTTTCCAAACTCCAAAACCATGAGAAGCATTTGAGACCTTGATGTGCAGGGACCATCCATAGTGAACTTATCAAATAAAAGTCTCCTCCAAAGAGCATTTACCTCCTTATTGACCCCCCAATGCCATTTCATCAAAAGATTTTAATTATGACCTTTGAGGTTCTTTATGCCAAGACCTCCGCATTTTCCCCCCATAATGACAGTTTTCCAATTAACAAGAGAAAAAGACTTTGATTGTGCGTTTCCCTGCCTAGACACAACGCCTAGACACAACGAGTTCTTTACTTTTTTGGTTGTTTGTATTGTTTTTTTTGAACTAGGTGAAATGTCATCTCTTTAGTTTGATGCATATAGATGTAGTTCTGCATCATTGATAGTTTATGTTGTTCTTTATTACTTCCTCCTTCTCAATTTATATAGCACTCTTTCCTTTTTACTCAATCCCCAAAAAGAATGTCAACTTTCCTTATTTAGAAATAATTTATCTTTAGAATTGGTACTTTACCTCTAACGAATTGATTTACGGCCGCACAAATATCTAATTTGTTTTAGATCACAAGTTTCAAAAGTTGGTTTTTCTTTCTTCCCTTTTTTCTTAAACTCCGTGTCGAGTCAAACACCGCCTCATAAAGTGAGACGGATGGAGTAACTCTTAGGGATTGTTTGGTTGGTGAACAAGTTATACCGGAACTATCATGACAGGATTATAATACGAGGATTAAATAATGATGGAGTTACTCGGTGGATATACTTTTGTTGGTAGTTCTTTGGTTTATTGGACTAAAAATAGGATATACAGGGTATAATATAAAACGTGTAGTTGGTTTTACACTAGATAAGTTGGGATAAGTTTTTATTTTCATTTTTACCTCGGACTTTTTAGGACTTTAGGTGAAGAGCCTTGGAGAAAGGCATCTCGGTAATTTTGGAGTTTTATCCGAGATTAGTGATCATGAGATTATTATCTCGCATTGAAGAATGGTATAAAAATAATACCATAATTATGGTATAACTAATCTCGGAATAATCTAACAAACGCAAGATAAAATAATCCCTTATTTTACCCCGGATTATCATCCCTTATCACACAAACATATTATAGAAAATATAATTTCCTTATAGAAACTAACATTAGTTTATACAATGTTTGGATGGATTAAAGGAGAACTAATCTCCACATAAAATTCAAAATTAACTAATACAATGTTTGGTTGTTTTTTTCTTGCTTTCCTCTTAAAGAATTTATGCATAAGTTATGCGAGAATCTATTTTTTATTTTATGTGGAGTAGAATGTGGAAAAAAATGCGGATATTAGTAATACATGGGTTAAAAGTGCTAAAATGACCAAACTAACCCTCATAATAGTAAGAAAAAATTATTTTCCTTAAAAAAATAAACAAATACTTTATATTATACATTGTGTACTAATTGATGACATATCAAACTAATCGTTTAACAAGAAATACTCTCTCTATTATTAATCTCCACATTACAATCCCTTCGGTACTATACTACATAACTTGTATCAAAACCAAACCACCTAATAGGCTATTATTTTTTATGCTCTGATCATTGTTGTCAAAGGCAAAAAGCATTAAAAAGCGGTCCAAGTCTATTGGGGCTTTAAGCACAAAGCACAATTAAAATGTGAGCTTTAGTTATAAAGATATATATGTAATTCAAGAAAAAAAGGACAATTTCATTCATAAAGATTTCCTCAACAAGTAATATATCTTTTTGCCGATCATATTTATTGTTTTGTACCGCTTTATTCAAGATAGAACTTATAGGCAATGAGGCGCACCTTAATGCCTTGCCTACACTAAAGCACAACCTAAGTGAGGGGGAGCCAATACCCCGAGCTATTTTGAGCTTCAAGGTTTAAGCGCACCTCAAATGAGCCTTTGACAACTCTTGCTCTGATTGTTTAAATGTCAAGGGTGGGAAGTTAGCGCTTTGGTTAAAAGATTGAGGTATAATAACTTATCATTTGCTAGCATTTCTTGGTTTATGGCGTTCAAAAGTTTAGCTGGTCGGAGCAGTTGAAATTGTTGCTTGAGCTGTATGCTCTGCCTAGTGAATATAATGATGAGATATAGGCCTGTCGCAACCCAAACTAGGAATCATGATCAGCGCCAACGGGCTATGCACCCAGCGAGCTAACCCTTAACCTATGTTGTGCGAACTATCCAAAATTCTGCTGCATCCGTGTCTGATCCTCAAAAATACACTACTTTTGGAGGATCCGACACTCAGCGGATGATAATTTTTGGAGATTCCGAGCAACGTAGCCCTTAACCATGGACATGTTTGTATGTATCAAACATTCTACTGAAGATTTGAGGAGTTTAGACAAATAAATAATCGATAGTGGAGGTTGGTTAGGTAATAAAGTTTTAGTAAAGTTCGGTTGTATTGTGAATTATAAAGTTAGGATTTTTTTTTTCAAAATAGAAAATGTTCACCGGTTAAAATTTCATAGAAATGTAGCCTTAAACCTATTTCTTCAAAAATATATTATTTCAAGTACTAGTTGAAATACCTAGCAAAAATGATGTCCAACCATTGATTTGCAAATAATTTTTCAATATTTGCAAATATTATGCATGTCCAAATTGCAATTAGTTTTAGATTGAGATTGATCTTAATTGAAAAATTTAGATACAAATGAATCATATAGGTAACCCAGGACCCCCGGTTGGATTCAGGCGTAGTCAACTGATTGATATATGAATGGTATGACGTGAAAATGTTTACAGGATCAAGTGTGATGTGTTTAACTTGAGGGACAATGCGAGAAAATCCCGAGATCCAGTCTTTACCTTCACTGTCTTTAGTTGTTTGTGTGTCCTTTTTGTGAGATGCTCTAACAGGTTTGATGTGCTTTCAACAGATACTAATTATAACGTAGAGAATTCTCCCAATTTCAAGATCTTAAATTTGTTCTTGAATAAACTTAAGAACATTTCTATATTTTGACTGTAGTCTAAATATTTTCCCTATTACTGCAATTAGTATATCGTAGTAGTAAAAAATTTCTAAGTTATCACAGTTAGTGAGACAAAACCTCCTACTTTTTTCCTTCTTTTTGCACAAGGACCTATGTTCCTTCTTGTTCTGCTTTCTCAAAACTTAACTTAAAACATCTCTACAAATTAAAGATCTCATGCTGAGATCAACACGGGGAGTGATTTTTACAGTCATCAAGTTAAAATAGAAATTCTATGTTGAATTTGTAGTTTGATTCTTTAATATAAGATATAACAGGATGATTGCTGTGGTTTATGCATTCCTTGTTGCTGTTACACACTTATGCACAAGATTTGTTATTTGGTTAGGTGAGCATAAGTTTTTGTGATAATTCATGTGAGCTTCTAATGGCGATTTTTAAAGTTCTTTTGGTTCTGGATGTGATCTATGTCTGAGATTGGTTGTTTTGCTGAAGTATGTGAGCAGGCATATTCAATGGCACAAAGTTTGGATCCCAACAGCGATGGTCGAGGCGTTCTTCAGTTTAAAACTGGATTAATGTCGGTTATTAAGGTATTTCTCAAGTTAAACCTGCTAATAATGGACCATCTTAATCTTAAGATGATTGGCTAAAATGCCGCATAGTTGAAGAAAGTTATTCTGACATATTGATTTCTTGTTCATGGCGATAGATATATGCTCATTTGATCATTTTGGCGATGTGGTAGTGATTGTGTTAAAATTTTACTGTACAATTTACCAAAATCTAAGAAATAATCAACTGTATATGATTTTCAGATACTTTTTTTGGATAGATTCAAGAAAAAAAGGAACCTTTTGCAGATTTTCTTCTTTTTCGTATATCTCTTTTACATGAGAGCTTTCCCATTATTATCAAAAAAATATTACAGTAATTTTTTTTGAGAAGGGAAAAATATATTACTTTACGTGATAAAAAAAGTGAGATCAAAGAAACTCTCAGCCTTGATCACTAACTAGATACCAATACCAAATTCTAGTATCTCCTTTGAAAACTTGGTTCTCAATGGGAGCGGGTGGCACGCCTGCAACAAGATGTGAAAAGAAAGTGAAATCTGCCTGAGAATCACTCCGTTTATTAGATCGGTCAATTAAGGTTCACCATGATTAACAGTAGTTCTCACATTTACACTGTCCGTTTCCGAAAGATTCACCTGACTATCTACCAGCCTTTGGTTGGATGAATTTATTTTTCCCTCCCTCCTATTTTATGTGATGCACTTTTTCTGGGCTCAAAGTTTAAGAAAGAAAAAACTTTTGAAACTTGCGGTCTAAAACAAGCCATAGATATTTGTGCACCTATAAAATATCTCATTATAGGGTAAAAGTTTAAAGTTAATTTTTTTTTAAAATGGTATCATTCTTTTTTGGAATAGACTGAAAAGGAAAGTGCATTACATAAATTGGGAAAGTGGGAGTAATTAAAAAGTTGGATGCAGACTCCCAACGAGAGAAGCCCAACAAATGTTAGTTAGTTACTAGTTGGTATACCAATAAGGCTTGGGATCAAAGGGTTTGGATTTTTAAGATGCGTGCTTTTACTTTTGGGTTCTAGTTGCAATTATGTGGTGAATTTATAACTTCACTTTGTCGCCTCTATGTTGTCACTTGTTTGGATTTATGAAACATGCGCTTGCTTCACTAGTAGTATATAGATGAATGCAAGATCGTTCTCACAAAGATTTGATACCAAATATCTAGTAAGTACAAATGTTGGGGCAACCTAATTCTATGAAAATAATGAAGCGATAAACTTAAAAAGTCTGGATGCACACTTAAATGAAGCTAGGGTCACATGTTTCTTGATATATCATTTTGGAATATATTGCCTTCCTATATGTTTATGGCATGCGGGGTTGTAGAATTAACAATTATTCAAATGCTTATCCTATGCCAAATGAACCTAATTTAATAAACCAATACCCTTTATTCCCATGGATCGTAACTTATAAGTAAGATGCTCTATTAACCAACTCTGATTTGAATGCTTGTGGTTTGCAAGTATCCATTCTGCAAACAAATCAAATCAATCATCTCAAGCAAATAGTATTCAAAATAAACTATTCAATTCAAGGCGTGAATCAAGAACCTTTAAATTACCAATCAATCTAATTGGTGGCCGAGCAATTAGAATTATTAAAAAACAAAATTGAACAAATAATCCAATTTCCAGTGATACTAAGTGAGAAAAAGTATTTAAGAATCCAAATTACAGACCAACATGAAAAAGTAAGTACATCATCAATAAATGATCTTTTTATTTTCAAGGAACAAAGGAAATCATTACAAACATTTTGAACTTGAAGATAATAAAGAAATAAGAAAATGGTGAAGGCAAAAAGAAAGAAGAAGAGAGTGGTGAATGATACATCTCCTACAGATAGCTACCCAAGCCCCTTTTCGTTCAAAACATGCTTGTCCATCGAATTTTCCTTAAAAGCGACAACCCTTAAGATTTCTCCCTAGATTTAATTTAAAGGTTCCATTGACCGGAGTAATAGATCGCCTGCTCTCTCTTTCCAATTATGTCATGTTGTCCAAGGACACAACCGAAAGAATTCTCCAAGACCGTCAGATATAAGAACAGGGGTCTCTCTGGCTCTGGCGGGACCAAAACTGGAGGATTTGAAAGATATTCTTTGATCTTGTCAAAAGCCTCTTGACACTCAGCCGTCCATTTGATTGTTGCATCCTTCCTCAATAACTTGAATATGGGCTCACATGTGCTAGTCAGTTGGGCAATGAATCGACTGATATAGTTTAACCTGCCCAATAGACTCATCACGTCTTTCTTCGTTCTTGGAGGAGGTAGATCTCGGATAGA